ATCAGGAGAACAACGTCCAGAGCCTTTCGCAATATTCCTAGAGGAATGTGGAATCTACCCACAGTACATCATAATCTTTCTAGATATAAGCACTAAAGAATACAGCTTAAATTCTCAATCAAGTTATAAGTAAAGTAATTGTTAAGGGTAGGAGTGGGCAAAACCTGAACCAAACCGACCGACCAGACCCAAACCGATCGGTTTGGGTCAGTTTTTGACATTATTTAGGCGGGTTTCGGGTTTCTGGGTGGGTAATCGGGTCGGGTCGAGTTATGGGTTAACAACCCAAACCCGATATAAACCGACCTAACCCGACCCGAAACAAAAAAAATAAATAAATAAACCAGTTTCAAAAGTAAACCCTAAAGCTAAAGGCTCCACATTTCGACCCACTCCCACAGGCCACAGCCCACTGCTCCCTCCATCTCTCTCTCTCTTTCTCGGTCTCTCGGTCTCTCTCTCTCAAATCGTTCCTAATCCAGGCGACCCAACTACCCAACCATCTATCATCTTCCAATCCTCATTAAGCAATCCTCATTACTGTCAAATACAAGGTTGATTGCGATTGTGATAAATTTGATTTGATTATACTTTAGGACGAGAATTTGTAATTTTTCGATAGTAAATTATTGGTTTCTGAAAAAAATTGGTAATTGGAGCTTGTTTAGAAAGACTTATTTTAGCAACAATTGAAATATCTATAATCGTAATAGGGCAATTTATGGTATGCTATTTTCTTCATTTTTTTTATTGATATTGGATTCACGCATAGCTGAGTTATTGTGGGTCTCTTTTACATTTTCAAAATTGATACTAAGCTATGCATGGAAATCTTCTGTTAGTAAAGCGCAGCCAAATACATCTTGTGGCCTTGGTTTCTTTTTCTCCAGCTAGAGATGGCTCCTCAGAGGCACTAATACTTTGGTCCTGCTTTTTTCCCTCATTCGCCATTTCTGCAGCTTTTGCACTCTCCACAATCCACATTATAACCATGAGGTTTTACATACATAAAGCTTACAGCTTTCATCATCTCCAACTGCATAATCACAATCAAGTAAAAATTGCAATCACCCACCATCCATGCCTATGTTAAACTGTGATCTATCACTCTCCACTAGGATTCAATAGTGCTATGCTAAATAATGTTGCCTCGTGTGAGCCAATGCCAA